ATATATGTGCCATTCAGATGCCAAAATGAGCCTCCATAAAATTATTTATGAAAAATTAAGGATCAAGCTTGTGCTTCGGTACTAAAATTGGAAGAATGTCGGGGAGAGGAGTTAATCATTTTGGATTCTGAATGGTTTACATGTATACAGCTTCAAGATTGCGTGGTTCTAGATGGAAAAAAATCGAGTCTCGAGTTTGGTAACTCGTTACTCTCTTCGATATACACTACCGGCCAAAAGTTTCGAATCACCTGCTAATTTACGGTAAAATTGAATCCGCTGCTAATCTTTTATAGATTTGAAATTGATATTGCGGAGATCGATAGTATTTTATCTCATTTCGATTGATTTGAACGAGGAGAAATTGGTTAAAATGTTCTTAAAATTGCTAACTTTATTCTGGAAATTTTTGTATAACTTGCAATGCACAGTGATTCGAAACATTTGGCCGGTAGTGTATGTGCCATTCAGAAGCCAAAGTGAGCCTCCATAAAATTATTTATGAAAAATTAAGGATCAAGCTTGTGCTTCGGTACTAAAATTGGAAGAATGTCGAGGAGAGGAGTTAATCATTTTGGACCCTGAGTGGCTCATGTACAGCTTCAAGATTGCGTGGTTCTAGATGGGAAAAAATTCAGTCTCAAATTTGATAACTCATTACTTCGTCCATTTTCTTCAATACAAACACTTCGATAACGACGAAGAACAAAAGCAGTGTGTTACCTATTAACCGATTGAAACGAGAAGTGACGCTTCGTTGTTCTATTTTCACGGCGATCGACGAGCAGAAGGAAAGCTGTGGAAGAAGAGATTTCTCACGAGCGCGAAAGAAAGCGGGCGATAACAGCGCGAGCGAAAGAAGAAGAAAGATCCAACGACGATTGTTCTGCGAAGAGAAACATGGGAAGAGAAATCGACGTTCAGCCGGTTCGCACGATCGATTTCCTCGATGCCGCGATTACATCGCCCGGATTATCGAAACAGGCCCGCTACGACATTTAATTAACGTTTCTAATAGCCGTGTGCGGGGGGAGGATTACGGTCCTTGATCTAGAAACCCGTTCTAATCAGGGATCATTAAAAACGATGGCTTTCGAGTGTGTGGCTGTTACACTGACGCGCGAAGCCAATCTCTTTCGATTAAGTTGTAGTTGTTTGGTGTTTCGTTTCGGAACAGTGTCTCCGCGGCGTAAACATCTTCTCGTTCGGAGCTGACCTCGTCGAAAATCCAAGCTGGGAATTGTTTGTTGGAAAATTGACGAAGAAGAATTTTTTTTTAGAGAAACTTCATTCACGAGTGAAGAAAACTAATTTTTTTTCCAGA